GTGCTTCTTCCGTGTGGGTTTTGTTGTCTCTCAGCTAGATGGTACTTGTTTATCTTCAGGTCTTTAAAGCTTCAGGTGCTATATCTTTTGGTAGCTGTGCACCATCAGCTTTCGGTACGCCGCTTTTAAGATGAGATTTTGGGCTGGACAGGACTTTCTCAGGGGCGCATGTGTGTGATAAGAATTCTGGAAGGGGGCAGCTGGAACAATTCCAGAGATGAGGAAAAGCCATGGGGCCCCCACCATGTGTGGAAGGTGGCGAGTGGTCTGCCGGAGAAGGGGAGTGGAGAAAAATCTGGGTAAGAAAGCTCCAGGCTTTATTCTGGGCCAATGGGGAGCCCCTGAGGTGGCCTGAGAGGGCACAGGCATGGCAGGAGGAGGCTGGGCTCTAGAGGCTTACGCTGTGGGAAGCAGATCGAAGATGAAGTCTAGGATGAGGGAGGTGTCCAGCTACGATTCAGTGTGGTCCTCGAGACAGGCACCCTTGTGGCACAGTGGTTAGGGGCTGGCTGCTAACTGAAAGGCAGATGGCACACACTCCACAGGCAGAAAGGCCCTTAGTCGGCTTGGGCAAAGGTCACAGCCTAGGAAATGCGATGGGGGCAGGGATGCTGTCCTATGTGGAGGTAGGTATACTGACTATAGGGGCAGGATATTGTGCTATACAAGGGCAGGGCTGCTGTCCTATATGGTGCCAGCGATACTGTGCTATATGGTGATGGCCATGACTTGGCATCAGCACAATGGCACACAACAGTCCGGGAGTAGCTCTGAACGGTATTACCATTCAGCCCTAGTCCTGAAGGAGCTCCCAGCGTGGGTACAAAACCATCCTTCTTCCTGGAACCATGGAGCGGTTTCTCCAGAAGAGGCCATAACTGGACTCCCAGTGACCCAGGGAAGCCGTGGAGGAGGGTCACGTGGACCAGGAGAGTGGGAGCAGGCAGTATTTGAAGACACAGAAGAGAGAGGTGGCCGGGGCAGACGTTCAGTGCCAATCCTCCGTCTAGCCCCAGAAGCAGCTGCTGCTCCCCTCTGGCTGCGCAAACACTACACAATCAGAGATGCTAGCCAAGGCAGGGCTGCAAAGCGGTACAGGAGGCACTTGATGGAGAGCCCGGAGATGTGCTTTCCTGCTGCACCACTTCTGGTCCCTGAGACCCCAGTCAAGTCAGCCTACCTCAGTGGCCTCAGTCTGCACTATGCCCAAAAGGATCATCCTAGAGCTTCCCACAAAACGTGGGCACAAGATGGACAATTGAGAAGGGTGATGGGGTGATGAGGGTGGGCATGGTTGTGGCTGGAGTACATGGGGGGGGTGGGCCTGGGGAGCACAGGTGGGAGGGAAGGTGCCAGGCTCCCTGTGCCCACAGTGTGCGCTGGAGGGCACTTTGGGCAGGACTGTGCTCAGCTCTGCTCCTGTGCCAACAACGGGACCTGCAGCCCCATCGACGGCTCCTGCCAGTGCCTCCCAGGATGGATCGGCGCGGACTGCTCACAGAGTAAGCTGCTGCCCACTGAAAATACCCCCTTCCTTGCCCAGAATCCTCAAACTTTAGGACTGAAATCCTCTATAGGTGGGGAATGTCCATGAGTCCCATTTAGCTCTTTGGCTAATATAAGGGTTGACCATTAGCATTGTTAACTGCTGGTATTAACGGTACCGACATTGTTGATTATATCATTAATGTTATTAATACCGGGAATTAATAGTCTAGTAGAATGACCCAGCCAGGTGAGGACTGGGGACTGGCCTGCTGCAGTTTGGGATAGAAGCTGAGTGAGGCCAGGGCAGTGGCCTCAGGGAGGGTATGGGTGCCACCTGGGTGGCCCATGTGAATGATGACCTGGGCACCGTAAGCTTGGACAGGGCACGGGCGTGAGCGTTCAGGTAAGATGTACCCAACCTGATGGGAGAGGAACCAGCCCTTTCCAAGTGCCCCAATCTAAGAGGGAGATACAGTTCCTGCCCTGTGGGACACCTTGTCTATTGGGTGAGACCATCATACCCCGAGAGTGGTCCCAGTTCAGTGGCCTGGCGAATCTCTAAGGAGCTCATTAGCTGAACAAGGAGAGTCCCAGCCCTGGGCCAATCCTCATCCTTACCAGCAGTCAGCACGCACGTGCACGCGCACGCGCCAAGGCCCAGAGCCAGTCACGCAGGCTGGGTAGTTCATCACCAAAGACGTGGAGCGCAGGCAGTGCCTGGGCTTCAATGAAGACCCTGGTGACTTGGGAAAAGAAGTGAGCCGAGAAATTCGGGGAACAGTGTGGCAAAGCCCTGAAAGTTAGGAAAGGGCCCTGGGGTCCTCCTGGGTCTGACCCGCACTCCCCCTCCCGCAGGCTGCCCCACCGGGTTCTGGGGCCCCGCCTGCTTCCACACCTGCGGCTGCCACAATGGGGCGCACTGCGGCGCGGAGGACGGGGCCTGCCACTGCACCCCTGGCTGGACTGGACTCTTCTGCACGCAGCGTAAGCCCGCCTCCGGCCGCCCGCCACTCAGTCCCATGCTGCGACCTGCTGGCCGCCGTGGGCATCGACCCGGCTGCAACCGAGGGAGGGGAGCCCCCCACCCCCAGGGCCTGCCTGGTCTCAGGGCACTGACCCTCCTTGGACAGTGGGCCCTGAGTGGGGAGCTGTGGCCCAACAGCCACTGTCCCCACTCCCCCTCTGCCCGCAGGCTGCCCAGCAGCGTTCTATGGGAAGGACTGTGGGCGCGTGTGCCACTGTCAGAACGGCGCCAGCTGCGACCACATCAGTGGCAAATGCACCTGCCGCACGGGCTTCACCGGGCGCCACTGCGAGCAGAGTAAGCTGACCCGTGCCTGCTAGCGGCTCAGGCTGGGCTTCACCCCTGCGGGCAGGGAGGATGTCTACCTTGGGGTTGCAAAGTTTCTTTCTCCCTCCTTTGGGGTGAGGTGGGGAGGGTGAGTCAAGGGCTGAGGGGCAGGGCTGTGCTTGTTGCTTCTTTGAAGGTCCTGTGGCCCCCAACTCAGGGCCTGGCATGAAGGACTGGGTAGAGGGCTGTGCTTTGAGTAAGCAGTGGTGTGTGGGCCCTGGCCCTTCCCCTCTGCATCCCCTCAGGGCTTTAAGTGCTCCGTCCAGCCCCCAACGGGGGACCCAAGCACAGGGGCAACTATAGGAAACAGGCTTCCCTCAGGGTGCGGGAGAGCTGGCTAATAATCCCTCTGCTCTGCCCAGAAGGTAAGAGAGGGGTGTTGGGTCCCTTGTCATGGCCTGGGGGCCCCACTGTCTCCCTTCCCTTTGGTGCTCCACAGGATGTGCCCCTGGAACCTTTGGCTATGGGTGTCAGCAACTATGCGAGTGCATGAACAATGCTACATGCGACCATGTCACAGGCACCTGTTATTGCAGTCCTGGATTCAAAGGCATCAGGTGTGACCAAGGTAAGGCCCAGATGGCAGCATCCCCAGGTTATGGATGGGCTGCCTGGAAGAAGGGAGGGACCCCAATGAAGACACCAGAGAGGATACCAGTTGGAAACATCTGGGTTGTTTGTGGGGGTCAGCAGAGCCACACACCAAGCAGCTGACCAAGCATATGTATCTGCCAGCTTCCAGTTCTGCCATTACTTGCCAAGGTGTCCTTGGACAGGCCATGTCCTGTGCTGGGCCTGTCATTCCCCATGCAACAGGGTCCCTCTGGGGCCAAGCTTGGCTCCAGCTTTGCAGTCGGAGGAGACTTCAAGTGCAGTTGTGAGGACCATGTGGGACGAGGTGAGGAGAGGACTTGGAATTCAATGGGAGTTTTGTGTCCATAAAAGCCCTCTGACAGAGCTGCAAATGTGTGAGGGATCACATTGTTCTCAGAGATGCAGGATAAACATGGCCTCTCATTCCCGTGGCTGCATCGCCAGCAATGATAAGGCAGCACGTCCAGCTCCTGGTGATGTAGCAGCTTTGTTCACCCCCAGCAGCCAGAGCCTAGGAGAGGCTGAGCGCCGCACCTGCCTGGAGATTGGTTCCCTTGCTTGTAATGGAGATGGGTTTAGGGGTCTGCACTGGCACAGCTTTCAGGGCTGCCAGCACCCGCTAACAACGCCCAGGCCCAGGAGGCTTACTGTCCCCGGCCTCTGAGTCACACAGCTAGTAAACAGGGAGAGCGGCTGAGTCTGTGTTTTCCTGACTCTCCAGAGACCCAACTCTGCCCTTGCGGGTTGTGCGATCTCAGGCAAGGTATCTAACCTTTCAGCAACTGTTGCTTCATCTGTGAATGGGAAAATATGTGAGTTATTTATTACCTGTAACTCAATCCTAGAAGAAACAAAACAGAAAACCTCATTACTATTGAATCTATTCTCATATATAAGCCAGGGTAGAAACTGCCCCTGTGGGTCTCTGACAGTTAACTGTTCATGGGACTAGAAAGTCTCATCTTTCTCCTGCAGAGCCGCTGATGGGTTAGAACCACCGACGTTATGGTTAGCAGCCAAATGTGTAAACCACTGTGCCACCAGGGCTCCCTAGAACAGAACTCTCCAACATTAGGCATTCCTTTGTTTGGAACCCACAATTGCATTTCCCCTCACTGTGAGATTGGGGCTCCCTCCCCTCTAGGCACTTGAAGCCAAGGCACAGTAGGCTCGGGCGCAAAGGGATGGGATCAGGCCCCTTCATGTGGGCTGGGCTGGGGGCTCTGAGCAGCAGGGGTACTGGCGCAGACTCAGCCCCCTCCCTCTGCCTGCAGCTGCCCTCATGATGGAGGAGCTGAATCCCTACACCAAGATCAGCCCAGCGCTGGGGGCAGAGCGGCACTCAGTGGGTGCTGTCACAGGCATCATTCTCCTGCTCTTCCTCATCATGGTGCTGCTGGGCCTCTTTGCTTGGTGCCGGCGGCGGCGGCAGCAACAAAAGGAGAAGGGCCGAGACCTGACCCCACGTGTCTCCTACACCCCAGCCATGAGGATGACCACCACTGACTACTCCCTCTCAGGTAAGGGCTGGTGCTCCAGCACGATCCTCTTCCTGACCCCAAAGCCCAGGAAGGGCCACACAGCATCCCTAGGGACACTGGTTTGTGGCTCACCTATGGGGGGGCCGGTGCCCAGATTCCCCTGGACGCCATGGTGTGAAGAGTAGAGGTCGGCTTGCAGAGGCTGACAGGATCCATGAGCGTCATTGCCTGGGCTCCCAGCTCTGGACAGCTCTGGCTGGGAGCCCCCTTCTATTTTCCACCAGGCTTTGGCCACAGGGGCACCTTCATTCAGGGAGAAACTAGGCCTTGGGGACCAGTGTCTGAGCCTTGTTCCAATTCTGTCTTTCTCTGCCCCATTTTCCAGATATATTTGCACAGTGCCAGGGGGGGGTGGGACTTGAAAGTGTGGTCCTTGCCCCTCTGGCTAGGCCCACTGATGCCGTCTGTCCATAGGTGTGGTAACAACTCATAGGCATTGCACCTGCAAATCTGAGTAGTGTTGGGGTGGGGCTGCTGGGCTGGGCACACACACCCCTGCAAGTGGACTACTGCCTTGGATGTAAGTAAGGATTTTGCTTGACTATTACCTGAATAGTAGGATCCACGTGCTCTGAAGGTGCCCGCAGAGTGACACCCTTCCTGGACGGCTGGGCCTGGCTGGGTGAAGCTGAGGATGGCGCCTCTCTAGCTGGTTCCTGCACGTTGTGCTTAGAAAGCCCAGGTCAATTTGGCCCAGCCCTGCTCAGTGTGGCCTCCTACAGGATCCAGGGGTGACCCGGTGCAGGCCCTACCTTCAGAGAGCCTCTGGGGCTGCAGTGGAAGCAGAGATCCTCTGAGGAGCTCTCCAGCCCACAGAGATTTGGGGGTTATCTTCTCTGACTGGGCAACATATAACGTCAAGGTGGCGGCGTTTCCCATGCTATTCCTCCAGAATTTCCCGGCTTTATGGGGAGACTCTGAAATCCTGGGAGAGGACAGGGTCTGTGTCCAGGGCCAAGAGGAGTGGGGGTTCTCTTTATGGACTTGCAGCTGGGGTCTGGGTGAGGATCAGTCAGCACTTCCTGTGCATGCTGCTGGGCCGGACCTGCACTCTGCATGCTGCAGGAGGACGTCCTGATGGAAGGAAGGAACAGGCCAGCTCCACAGGGGTCTGTGGAACATAGGGGCTGGGGGCTTAGGGTCGAGGGGCACACTGCAGCTGCCCAGCCCAAGCATTAGCACTGGGTTATCTCATGCCAGGGGCAGGGGGTGATGGTATGTGGCACCTTGTTCTCTTCTCAGATTTGTCTCAAAGTAGCAGCCATGCCCAGTGCTTTTCCAATTCCAGCTACCACGCACTGGCGTGCGGGGGGCCTGCCACCAGCCAGGCCAGCACTCTGGACAGGAACAGCCCCACCAAGGTACCGGGCCCCTGACTCCTCAGCCCCGTCCACCGTCCCTCTGTTCAGCGCCCACCTCTGCCTGGGAATGAACAAGGAGGATTGATGTAGAACTAAATGCCAATAGATGACACACAGTCCTGAAGACATGCTGGGAGGTTAGGCCATCACATGGAGAGCCCGTGTGCCATGGGACCAGTCAGCATCCCACAGAGACAGCCTGTAATGTTGCTCCGTATATAGCCAACTGGTCACCGAGTCACGTAATAGTCACACATAGCTTTTTTGCCACATTTAACCATGTACACCAAATAGCCACTCTGGCCATGAACTACAAACACATCATATGTATTCAAAGTGCTGTCCCACCTGTCCCTAGTCACGGCAACAGTCACATGACAGAGTCACTACCCAAGGACACCACCTGTAGACTAGTACATCCCCATCACCATTTGTTGTGATCCACTACAAGGGACACAGAACCCAAGCACCAGCTGTCGCAAGGCCTGCAAGTTCTAGGGCAGCAGGGTATCCCCTGACAGCCCCCAGCACAACCTTGGCTGATTGCCAAGACATCGTCGTAGAACATGCCCTCAGACAAGGATGTCTTGGCATACATGTTCCCTCGATGTGCCAGAACTCCTGCAGAGCACAGTGGGAGATGCAGGAATGAAGCCTCCAGGAACCCAAGCCCGAGTGGGCTCATGCCACACACCTCCACAGCCACCTGTGCACCGGGCCACCGGGGCTTCCAGCTTCCTGTAGCATAGGCCTGTGTTCTAGAGCTCTGGACCTCCAGATGTCCGGCAGCCCACAGACCATGCCTTCAGCCACACACATGGTGACATAGCAGCCTGAGCCCCCCCAACAACGGCATGGGTCCTGTCAAGGCCACTGCTGCAGCCTCCCTACCTGTCTAACAGGGCACGTTTCCTGCAAGGCCCCTCGAGGCCTGCATGCAGCCTTGCACCCAGCGCTGTAGCTTTCCAGTGCAGGCCCATTCCCGCTCATCCAGAGTGGCAGTGAAGCCTGGAGTTTCCCAGCAGGCCGCTCTTGCACCGACGTCCCATTCTCAGAGCTGCAGCAGGCCAGGGGCCGGGGTGCCAGAGAGGAGGCAGAGCCCGTGCTCTGCTGCTTGGGGCCTCTTTCTCCCGCCACCTCTTTCAGTGGGGGTCTGCAGTGGAGGGGGGCCACTCAGTCTGGCCGATAGGGCATTTAGTAAAGGCAGGCAGGGCTGCTGTTACGACAGATAAGAGACACAGGTCTGGGAGCCAAGATGAGCTCGACCCAGCTCTGCCACTGACTCCTTGTAGGACAGCGGGCCATCCCCAGCCCCGCCTCTGATGAAGGGCAGCTGTGAGGACCCAGGAGGACGAGGACTTCACCTTAGGCCTCAAGACACACCCAGGCCTGTGGCTTTCCCGGATCACATGCACATTCCACATAGGTCAGGTGGCAGAGGTGACAGCATACCGGCAGCAGAGACGCCAGAGCCCCGCTCCTGCAGCTCACTCATCAGCTAGGCTCAGGGCACTTAATGGCTCTTGGGAGGCCTGCCCCACCCCCACCCCTTACCAAGCCCTGAGAACCCTACAACTCTAGCCACTCAGCTCAGAGGGTGGGGTGGGGGGCATAGGAGAGGAGGAGGCAGGGGGAAGGGAGCCCCTGGGGGGTCCTCAGCCATACCATGGTGGCCTTTCCCTCAGTGGCCTAGTAACCAGGTGAGCCAGGATCATTATGGGGAGGGGACAGCAAACGTGGGGAGGGGTAGCCCGGGGCACCAGGTATTAACCCTCTCCTGCTTTCCAAACAGCTCAGTAACAAGGCCCTTGACAGAGACACAGCAGGCTGGACCCCCTACAGCTTTGCGAACGTGTTAGGTCAGTAGTGGTCCGAGTAGATCTCCTGCAATCATGCCCCCCCTGGGCTCCTTCTCCCACAATGAGGACCCTGTCTCAGCTCAAGGGGATTGGGTTCACAGCAGCGTCTCCCCATTTCAGCTCTCACTACTCAAGCCCAAGGCCCCCTTCATCCCTACATTAGGGAAGGGTGGCTGTGACCCAAGGAGGTAGCTGGAGTGGGTCTGGGGATTCTGGGTGGAGGTAAAGATACATTGGCCATCTGGGGAAGGGACTTCTTCCTGACCAAGCCGCTCTGGGAGGGAGGTGGGGAAACCAGGAAGAAGGCCTCTGTTCTAGCAGATGCCCTCGGCTCTTCCGGTGTTGTGATCCCGCCTTGACCCCCATCTCCTTGTGCCTACCCCCTTCCCTGCCACATCAGGGCCCTGGGAATAATGGCTCCTCCTGTCATTCCTCTCACTAGACTCCCATTTCCAGATCAGTGCCCTGGAGGCCAGGTACCCGCCCGAGGACTTCTACATTGAACTTAGACACCTCAGCCGTCCAGCTGAGCCACACTCACCAGGTCAGACCCCCAAGTCCTACCCTTCCCCCGGGGCCCCGAGGCTCACACTAAACCATTCAGCACCGGGTTTCCAGAGCTCTCCCTCTTGAGCCACTCCCCGCATGATTAGTCTCCAAGCCTAGTCCCCTCCCTGAAGGCAGACGGCCTGGGTCCTCTCAACACTCCTTCTGCTCCCGTGGTTAGTGTGCACAGACACACTGTGTCCGGATGAGAGAGAAGGGACACTTAAAGTCACATTCTTCCCAGGCCACCACCCCAAACCACTGAGAAACTACCTGGGGGGGTTCTCCGGACTATGCCCTTTTGGTGAGTTGGCTCTTTGCCTGATGAGACTCCAGGGCCAGCTCTTCCAGCTCAGGGATGGAGTGGGGGCTGTCCAGCAGGGATCTGGAGAGGCTAGAGCTCCACATGTGGCTTCCTGGTCAGCATCCCCTGCTCCTGTGTCCAACTCCAACCTGGCGACTGGAAGACTGGGTCAGTGGAGGATGTGGGTAGCAGCTCAGAGGTGGTGCCAGAGGGGTGACTACAAGGAATGAACAAGGTTGTGGCATCCCTAGAGGTGGTCCCCAGGGCACTGTGGGGCAGAGCCTTAGCATAACTGGGTAGCTCTGGGCCTAAGCTCAGCCTCTAGTTGGTCTCCAGGGCTCAAGGGAAATGCAGTTCTGTCGGCCCTTGCAGGTTCCTGGGTCCAGCAGCACTAGGAAAGGTAAGGGTCTGAATTCATCTGCCCCTTGGGTAGGCAGAGGCTGTAAGGATTCTGATCCTCTGCCCAGGAAGCTATCTTGTTGGCTCTGGATCTCCTGGGAAGTGTCAATTATTAACAACCCCCACCCACACAACCACAGAACACTACTCTGTATCTCTTCCCACATGGATGATCCTCTAATTCTTCAACCGTCATTTTTTTGGCTTACATGCAGGTAGGCTAGTGACCAGTGGGAGTGAAGACTTGGGGAACTCTGCTCTGGTCACAGTTCAACTTCTCATTAGCTAATGTGGCCTGGGACCCTCTTTGGGTCTCCATTTCCTGTTCTGTAAAATTGGAGAAAAGTTAACCATGTTGCCTGCCTCCCTCCCTCCGGGAGCCCTGTCTGGTAGAAAGTGCTTAACAGGTGCCAGGGGTATGGTTTGTTGCAGCTATGGTTTCTGAAGGCCACAGGTACCCACAGGCCCTTTAAAAATATAAGAGTTGAGAACCTGGACCTCATTCAACTGTATCCCTCAGTAATGTGTGGAGGAAAGGCCAGACTAATTCAATTTGCCAGACTTCAACTTGGGCCATGTGCTGGGGTGTGCGGGGTACTTCAACAGCACTGGGTTTGGACTTGTGTAAGAAACCTTGGGGCAGGTCAATGGAACCCACTGTATTTTCATGAGCACTCTGCACACCTAGCCTGGAATGGGTCCCCTCTGAAAAGCTGAATCACAATGGCTTTGACTCAGTCCTGTGCCATTCTAGAAATGCCAGGCGATGTCTTTCCCAGGATCACCAGCAGCAGAGCCTGAGTTTGGTTCTCGAAGCTTTGTGACCCACCTCTAGCTATGCACAGGGGATCGTAGCATAAACTGTGACAGTCAAAGGGAGAATAATAAGTCTCAAGTATGTGCAAATGGCTCATTCATAAGCTGGAGGCAAAGCAGCCTGTGGATGGGAGTGAGTATACACCCTGCAGAAATGACTCAGAGCCATAGCCAGCTGTCCGCCCTCAGCTGAGGCCCAGACCTGGGAGAGGAGAGGCAAGGCTGGAGCTTTGAGAAGTGAGCAAATCTGTGTCTCCAACCCCATCCTCAATCCCTCCCCCTGCCCCAAGCTACAGACTAGTTCTCACTTCTTGTTCTGTACCTTTGGAGCCTAGAACTTCACCTACAGTGACTGCAGGTGGCAACAGATGTGTCATGTGCACCCTCCTGGAAGACACTGCCCTCAGGACTGTTGGGTGAATAGTAGGAGCCAAATCTGCCATGGTGCTGGGGTTCACTGTGAATGTTTAGGGGCCCTTTAAGAATCCCTCTTTACGCTGACTCATCTAGAGTAGACTACACCCAGCACAACACTAGCAATAAATAACGTTCCTTTCAGGGTAGTGGAAAAAGAAAATCAAGGACAGGCTGTCTATGTGAACTTCGTTCAGCCCCTATTATTCTTTCCTTGTATCATTTCTCTGCAGGGGCTTCTGGAATGGACAGACGTCAGAACACATACATTATGGACCAAGGATTCAAAGGTAGAGTATCCAATCCTTAAGTCCCATTAGAGAGAGTTTAGCAAGGTACAGAGTGCAGATTTGAAACAGCTAGGGATCCCCCATCTCCCTCCACAGTCCTTCCCCCTCCCCCCTCAAAGTGAAAGTGAAAAGATCAGAGGACCTGGGGCTGTTGGGAGCTGTGACCAGGAGCTGGGCACATCATAACAGTGATGAACTCATCTTTCCATTTCAGTTGCACCTGCTTAGCAAACGCTTGTGGGTTTCTGTTGTGTTTTTTTTTTTAATAGATGCCAACTAAATATCTTCGGAAATGTAGAACATCATTATCCAACCAATTAGCACAAATTAAATTGATTATAAAATCTGAAATAAAGTCAGTCTACCGGGCCCCGAGGCCAAAGAATGAGACAAAGCGTAGTGTAGATGCTGCCTCAAGGAAGCCGCGGGGCTAACCCCAGTACATGGAGGGTGCCCGCCCAGCAGCCCTCTAATGCGTCCACAGGTGAAGGTCAGGCCTTGTCCTTGGGCTTAGGCCCTGTGATTTAATGACAGACTATATAATGTAGACAGCTTTGGAACCACACAAACCTGGGTTTATATTCCAACTCTGTCACTTACTGGGACCCAAGACTGTGAGCTCTCGGGGCTTGACTTCATCTGTAAATGGCATACTGGTGGCTAGCCCAAGTTTCTTTTGCTTGTCCCCTACACCACAGAAGGGGCATGTTTTACGTATTATAAAGGGTTCTACAAATGCAATGGGACTGTCTTTTTGTCTCTAGTGTCTATTTAAAGCAGTCTCAGGCAATCTGAAAGAAATATGACCAAAAGCAAAGGTCCCAATGGATATCCTCAACTTGGCCGTGCACCAGAATCAGCTGGGAAGCTTAGTACAAATAGAGGCTTCAGATCCTATCTTCCCGGGACTCTGCAGCAGACCTACAGCTGGGTCCTGGTATCTGCATTTGTGATGAGTGCATCAGGTCACTCTTATGCAGAGTTTCTACGCAATGAGCTAGCTGTCTGCAATCCTTGGGGAAGTGGGGGGTGTGGTTGTTAAGTGCGGTGTTCAGTGCCAGAAAGCAGGAAAGAGAAGTGTCCACCAGCAGGTGTTAGGCTGTGCAAGGCCCAGGCGAGCTGTCTGTCAAGATAAGAGGTGCTACCTCTAAGTTGGGAGCACCGTTCTGATGGTTTGTTGTGAGTGTTCACATGAACCATCCACATGAACAATGGGGTACAAGCAAGAATCGCTACAGTGGGTAAAGCTCAAACCAGGAAGGATGGCTGTTACATCATCACTGTGACCTGAGACATCAGTTTCCTTATTGAAGACGTGAGGGGACTGGACAGGAAGTTCTTCAAGGGCCCTGTCAGCTGAGAATGTGCATGACTCAAGTGTGAAGAGGCTGAGACAGGCCCAGACCCCTCAATAAATGAGCACATTGCTTTCCTATGTACTTTGTCGTCCTGTGCACTGTGACTAGGGAAGCTACTTCAGACTTGTACCTTCAATGCTAAGGCAGAGCTACGGGAAGTAGCGTCTCGGCCGCAGCAGCATGTACTTCCTGGTGGCTGGGATCCCTGACACAGGCTGGCGGCCAGATTCTCTCTCCGGTGTCTGTAAGCACCCTTTGTGCAGGCAATGTCCCAGCAGGTGTTGGGGACCAATATATCAGAACAAGAGAGGACAATGGTATGTCACAGTCCAAAAATATCAATCCAAGGCATGGAATTACCCCACTAATTTGCTGTACTCCCCCAAAAACATTTTATAAACTATTTTGTACCAAGGATGAAACTAATTCCTAAACCTTCTGGGCCAAAACCAAATCAGAAGATTTGAGAGTCTCAGTGTGCTCTGACCTCGGTGGGAAAGAAGCCTGGCTGGGTCGTGGTTTCTTCCTCTAAAAAGACAGCTGCATTCGCACATCTCTAAGGCCCGTTCCAACTCTGACACTCTAAAAGTCTTAATTCAGTGACTGCCCCTTCCCACCCAGTGCCCCCTGAACTGTCATGTTGGAGGTGAAATGAACCATTTACCAAGCTTTGCCAACCCCACTCTGCCTGTCAACAACCACTGTTTCTCCCATGGCACCTACCCCGCCACCCCACCCCTGCACTGATTCAAAGTGCTACAGGAGTCTCCCACCATTCCCCATCCCCTGGAAGCCAGATTGATTCTACTGCTGCTGCCACCAGTGTACTTGATATCCAAACTCCAAGTCTATTCTATCAACCTCGGGTTCTATGGAGGTTAAGAGCCGACTGACATCCTGAAATGCCTTTTTACTTAGCCAGCCAAGGTCTCCTTCTGACCCTGACATCTAACTTTCCCGCTCCTCATATCCTTGGTCTCTGTCAAGAGAAGGCTAACATATGGCTCTGAGAGAGAACAGAGGTGGCTGAGAAGCAAGATGTAGATGTTCTTGTGCCTGGATGGGCGGGCTCTCTGAGCAGTGAATAAGCTGGTTCTAACTAGATGCTCATGTGAGCCTACAAGTCTGAGTGGGTGCAGATCCCCGAGCGCCTTGGCAAGTCAATTCCCTTCTCTGAATTTACTGCTGCTTTTAGAAAATGAAAATATTTCGATTCGTTTGAGAGGTCTCTTCAGTCTCTGAAGTGGAGTCCTGGTGACCAGTGGTTAAACACTTGGATACTAAATGGCAGGTCTGCCGTTTGAAGTCACCAACTGTTGTTCCCAGCTCTCGTCTGTCCTAGTTAGTGAACTGGAACTGACCTCATGGCGATGCGTGCAGTCTCTGACAGTCATGGCAGTGTGTAAGGCCCAGATGAGAGCAAATGCTAGACTTCAGTCTAAAGCTAATGACAGGGCTGGGCCCTTGGAAGAGTGACTCCCTGGAGAGCTTAGGTAGTTTTTGCTTCCCCTTTCTCTGCAGAATGCGCTCAAGGGCAGGGACTGGGTGTGGTGGGGCAGTGAAAGGATGAGGAAGTGTCTGAGCAGCTGGTTACTCTTTCCCCACCCCATGCTCCCTCAGAACAGGCACGTGGGTGAGTCAGCTGGGCAAAGAAGGGCTTCCTAAGGTGGTGGTTCTCAGTAAGCCTTGCCATTCCTCACCCTTCAGTTCCCAGCAATGAAAGGAGCCACCGTATCCTGCCATAATTCAACGCCCTCATCCATTTCCCTAATCCTACCCTGTCTCCCCCCAACCTCAACTTCTCCCCTGCTATAGAGCAAGACAGGCAAAATATTCCCAAGAAAGCAGCCCTGCCATTTCTGATGAAAAGGAGAGGAGAGGCTCCACTGACTGGCACTGAGCTAGCACAGCAACGCTTACTTATTAGCCTGTAGCCTCTCACTCTCAGGAGGGCTTAGCCCCATAGATCAAAGGTACTCCCTGTGGAAAGTTAGGGAAAGGGGTTGCTGCCGTAGGCTGCATTTACAGGTACAGGAGGAGGGGCCCCTGGGCAGCAGAGGTGGGCAGTCTAACTGGGTATCAGAGAACATAAGGGTTGACATGAATTTTCAGAGTGTCAGTTTCCTCATTTCTAAAGTAGTAATAACAGTCCTTCCTGCCCACCCCCCTTCACAGATGCTCAAAGCATCAAATACAAAGCGAGCCAAGTGCCAAAAGAAAAGGCTGTGTGTCTGGATGAAGGGGCAGGAGTGTGAGGAGGGCTTCTCACTCAGGAGGTCACCCCTTTTTAAGCAATACCAGCCCTTCGCTTCCAAACAAGAAGCTCCAAGCAATACTGTCTCACTCCTTGGCCGAGAATACAAAGTGGGACAGGTGGGCCATGTTGGGGGTTCCTCGGCTTACCCACCACTCTTTTGTACTAAGAAACAGCCTACCCACTGAGGCCACTTTCTGTGGTATGGGGCAGATCATGGTCCAGCGCTGTCCCCCATATGAGCCTCAGTGACGGCTGGGCCAATCGAGCCTCCCTTTAGCCCTTGCTGGGGCTGGTTGGGACTGTTCATTCACTAGCATGACTTTTCTTCCCTCCTATCTAAGGTCATATACTATTAAGAAGCCATGAGACAAAGGCCAACATTTCTACCTATTTGTGGGCAAAACCGTGATAGAAAGTGCTCTGCGCCTAATTCTCTAAAATCAGTGTTTCCAAAAGTGGGTGATACTGCCCCTCCAGGAGGTACTGGACCAATGGCAGTGGTGGGGGGGGCTCTAAAAGCAGATACCTAGACTTTATGCCAGGGGGTAAGGCTGAGTAGTTTTGTTTTGTTATTTGAAAGGGGAACAGTGGGACATGTAAGATTGATAGCCTGTGTTTTAGAGCTTGCTCTGGGAAGTTCCTTCCTTACTCTATGCCTCAATTTCCTAATATGCAATATAAGGGGAGGGGTGGGGCTAAAAGAGGTGAGGAAAAATGAACCCTACATCACAGGCATTGTAAACATTCAAAGGAACTATGAAGTAAATATACTTTGGTTTAAGATTTAGGAAATATTACCTTAATAACCTAAAGCAACCATCAATAGCCTACACTACCAGAAGAGTAAATGCCCTTGCAATCAGCAACCTAATATAGGGGAAGGGGGGCTCTCTGTGGTGGCAGCTACTCCAGCCACACTGAATGTTCTGCTCTCATAACCCCTGAGTTACATCATCATTTCTACTCGTTCACGTTTAAACAGAGCACACAGCTGTTACAGGTATAACCAAAGTAAGCCACGCCAGGGGATACACCACAGGCTCACTACTAGGAAACGGACTTTCCCAAGGCTTGGCTCGAGACTCAGGTGTTTCCTGCTGCACCACCCCAATCACCAGCTCCTGGAGGGCAGGAGTACCCTGTGAATTTGCCACTTAAAGGCAGCCACATTGCTGACATCTACACAAAACCACACCAGCCTGTTTCTAAGCCCGAGAGAAGTCTGGTTGTCAAAAATAACTCTGAAAAAGACTTACAGAAAAAGGTGTCCCCAGTCATAGATTCAAGTCTTGACACTGCTGCTTCCTAGCTGCGTGATCTTGTCAAGTCATTTCATCTGTGGGGTCTCATCCCATAACATGGATGCAACCAACTCTCCTTATGGCATTTAGTACAAATTAAAGAACAGGGATGAAAACATGTTATGAATATCCTGAATAATGCCTTTCTGGTGCTAGACCTGACTACTCAAACAAAAAATATTCCCATTCCCAACCCCAGCCCCCAACGATGTTTCTTTTGGGGAAAAACAAAACAAAACCCTCCCTGTTTGGAAAACAATCATCAACACATTTATCTAGCACCTCTTGGGATGATCGTAGGCTTTTACTGCTCCAAGACCCTGAAGGCAGTCTCCTACCGTCAGTGTTTATAGACACGTGTCCTTGCTAGTCCTAAGAAATCGTTCTTGCTTTGCAGATTACATGAAAGAATCCGTGTGCAGTTCTAGCACTTGTTCCTTGAATAGCAGCGAAAACCCGTACGCTACAATTAAGGACCCGCCCATCCTCACCTGCAAGCGTCCCGAAAGCAGCTATGGAGAGATGAAGTCGCCTGAGCACAGGGCGTCTCCGTACACGGATGTGCCACCCTTGTCGCCGTCTAATAAAAATATATATGAAGTCGGTAGGTGTCTCAAATAAGTACCTTAGTGACAACCAGGGCAGTAGTGCAGCATCTGAAGTAAAACCTGACCCTCTCCAATCACCCTGTCTGGAGAACACCCTCTTTCACTGTTCTTAGAGCAATGCAAGGTGAATGGCCTTTCCCCAGACCGCCCTCTCCTCTCATGCAGGACATCAGATTCTGAGACCAGCTCTTCTTTAAAGACACCAGACGCAGAAACACTGGGGGTGAGGGTGGTGGTGGTGGGTAGTCCACACACACACATTTCACCTGATTGTTGGCACAAATCCCAGGTTAGCCAGGAACACAATCAGAACAGTTTCTGACTCACCCCCTTCCATCTTTGCCCGGTTTATCGTATGTTACTGGGCTCCCTGACTAGAGCCCTAAGCACAGGATTTCTGAATCTCATGGTAGTGACAAGAGCTTGGGATTTAAACAGCAGTCACTTAGCTGCTGCTCCATCTACTGAACCGCAGTCGCAGCCCTCAGTATTTGTCATACATCTGTGACCCCTAACTTCTCTCCCCAGCAAGTTTAACTAGAGCTTTCTTCCCCTCAACGAGGCAACCAAAGCTAATCTGTTCTTTGAACTCATTTTTCACTATATTCCTTAGAACCCACAGTCAATGTGGTCCAGGAAAGCCGTGGTCGTAACTCCAGCTATATCCAGACTCCATACAACCTACCTAAGAACAGCCATATTCCTGGTCATTATGACCTCCTCCCAGTAAGACAGAGCCCTGCCAAAGGGCCTTCCCAGGACACGCAGTCTTGAGAGAAAAATCTTCCTTTCGCAATGCACTCTGCTGCTGATTCTCTGACTCTGAAAGAAGACGAGCCTCTGAGTTGCAGTAACGGTAGACTCCAGCAGCACGTAAGTTATTATTTTCACCTGGAACTAAAGAAGAATTCCTGAGTGGGTCGGACTGGGGCAACTGTTCACAGATGTCTGTCTGCAAAGGCAAACCCTATCACCGACCAACCCCACCCTCCAGATGACCAGGATTATATGATCTCTAAAGCTTTGAAGATGCAGCTACTCATCCACATCCATATATACACACAGGGGGCTGGGGAAGGGAGAGCATTGCTTTAAAGCATCTGAAATGTGTATGTACTTCTGGTTGCTATGTAATCACCTAAAATAATTAGTACACAGGCCATTACTTAAAGAGCCTTTACATATATGTTCGGGCCATCAAATTATAATGACCAATATCAGTGTTCGGTATATAGTCTGACACTGACAATTTCAATTTTAAAGAATACTTTCATAAGTGGACATTTTTCTCCCTTTTCCCATTTTAGTACTAGGCTGGGGTGGGGGGGGGGTTGCTTCCACAGCAACAGCCTCTTTCCATCTACAATAATTTCTAGGCCAGTTTTACTAAATCTTGCCAATTCAAAGATCAACAACATCCTAAATCAGTCCTGGTCTTGTCTGATCTCTTTAGTCTATCCAACTCCTGGGTCATTCCATGTGAAATAAGGCTCTGAGATGATGCTTTAAAAGAAGCAGGCTCAGATTGAGAAGAATTAAATATCAGACAGCTACTTGGCCACCCCAATTTATTTGGTTGGCATTTCTTGACTTAGAAGAGTACTTACTTTCTTTCAAGCAGTTCTTCAAACATCTGGAGCTTGATGTTGTACGGAACTTAGAAGTGCAGAGGAGAGTTTGAGTTGTTTAAAGTAAGTTATGCTTTTGCGTAGAATGAAATGACAATATCAAAGAGAGAATGGCCTGTCACCAGTTGTGGTAAGACTAGTGAACAGCAGCAAAGGAAATCAAGTGCTTCTACCGTGTACTATGATAAAACAATGTATTAAAATGAGTTAATTCTCCAGATCCCAGAATTTAGATGTGCTTGACTTGCCGCTACTGATGAACATAATAGGTAAGCTGAGGCTCAAATGGGCTGAAAAGGAGTGAGCTCCCAACCCCTGACAAAAACTAAAGACCCAAAGACCGTCAAACCAAGGAAGCTACTGGCTCCCCCTGTACCACTCCATCCTGATACCAGTTCAGCCAGGAGAAAGCACTTCAACAAAGTTATACACAGGAGGAACTGAACAACTGCAGACTTGAAGTATAGGAGTTCTGAAGCCCTTGAGACAAACTGGAATTTCCCGTGAAACCTGTTCCCACTGCCACTGGGTCCACAGTGACCATATATATGGTTTCTGAGACGGTGAATCTTAATGGGAGCAGACATCTTTATTTTTCTCCTCCAGAGCAGTTAGTGGATTTGAACTGCTGACCATGTTGTTAGCAACCCAACACTTGTCCTAATGGGCATGAAACCTATTAATTTGGGCGAAACTAAATCTACTGCCATCAGGTCGATTCTGACTTATAATGAACCTGTAGGACAGAGTAGAATTGCCCCACTGGGTTCCCAAGGCTCTAGGTCCTTACAGAAAACAGTCGCGGCCCACCACATCTTTCTCACACAGAACATTTGGTGGGTTGGAAATGCAGCTTGGTTTGCAGCTAAGTGCTTTAACCACCAGGGCTCCTTTTAGTTTGGGTTGTAACCATCAAAAGCAAGAAAATAAATAAGTAAACCCTCCCTCCTGCCCACTTTACCTAAGGCTTGAGCAAGTTTTATTGTTAGGAGAAAATATAATACACGAATGCTGCATGCATGCATGGGAGCAAATGATCAGCAACAGCACACTGTACTTTCAAAAAAAGCCTTTTACAATATAAATACTAGCCAATTACTTTGTAGATGCAAGTCAATGTTTTGCATACGTGTGTAGGAAGAAATATAAAGAAAGACTTACCTTTGTACTTCAGGGCTGCCAGTGCTCTCAGAGAACAGCAAGGAGAAACTTCACCTCCACCCCAGGTTTTATCTTCTTCCCATATTCTGTATGTACAGTAAGTGCCACCTAGCAGCCTACAAACAGGCAGCATCACTCACCTCTCTTTTGCCGACTGTCCTCTGCTGGAATGGCTAGAGCACTGGGTCAAGAGATGTAGGTGTTACCCTGGGCAAGTTACTTGCCCTCTTGGTTCTCTCTCTCACACACACACACACCACCACCACCACCACCACCACGTGTAAAAGGGAGAACCACAGAGGAGGAGGGAGTGATACCCAGTCTTCAGCTCTAGCATTCTTTGATTTCTAAAGAACTATAGTACCACTCAAATCAGGCAAATATGGAGGATTTGGGGGAGAGGTAGAGGGTGTGAGACAACAGCTGCTTTCACATACCTTAAGAATCACCTAGAAGAAATGCTTCAATCTTACAGAGCAACTGTTGGGAACTGCATATTCACAGTAGCACGAATAGGTTCGTGGTCAGCCTACACACATGCACTGTGTTTCAGAGTTCATTTGATTGGTGACTTGGGAAGTTCTGTTCAATTATTTCACAAAAGCTAAAGTTTTCAAGTAAATAAATTGATGTGATTACAGTTCACATAAGTAAAGGAAACATGATTCTTGTACAGTAGTATACTGAAACTATGAAAATAGCAATACTTTTTTAAATATAGATTTGTAATTTATTTGTTCACTGTGCAGAGGTATTGTACCTTGTACAAAATAAAATGAGTTTCTCAAACTAACAAAAATGCCTACTGTCATCTTGAAAAGTGAAAATCTATCTGTAATCTGTACCTTATTTAGGCTTAAAGGTAGAACTGTTTCGTGTGGTCATTGGCTAGAATAAAAATTCTACCAACAAATGCTTGAAAATAAGGCTAAAAGGCTACGCTAAATGTATAAAGAAGCCTCTTCCTATAAAGTAATGGACGGAATCAACGTACTTTTATGCACATCCAAAAAGAGTGCTGGGGGGAAAAAAAAGACCCTCAAACACATCAGGGTATGAAAGTGAGAGGGTTTCTCTGTTTCCACAAGATTTGGACTCAAAGACAAAGATTACCGCTTGTGCTCAGCTCCAGAGGCACAAAGGTACTCCTATGGGGTAGAAATAAAGGCAAGTGTGAAGGCCACCTCGTTTGCATAAATGCAACGAATGGCTTTCCATTTGTAGAAGTTCTCATGGAGTAAGGGTGGTTACCCTGGGCACATCTGTTTTAGGACCTTTAAAAACATAATCTTATGACCTACCTGGTAAAGAAGCAGTAAGATTAATTCCATAATGAAACGCAGACGTTGCAAAAGGGCCTTAAAAATGCATTCAATGGTACAAAGCTAAAGTTTATCTTTTATACTTTCAAAGGTTTGTATATAATCCTTATAAGTAAGTCATAACTAAAACTTTCGACTTTTCGTAATACTTCAAACTTCTTCCAATTTAGTAAAATGTTTAACCTAAATTACCTTTGATGGTTAAAGATTAAGATTCATGCAGAAAAGACAAATCTTACTAACAGTGTTAGATCATTCTCAAGGGCTGGGGTTTAAAAACTCTGTAAAAGACAAACACGTATACTTAAAAGAGCTTTAAGGCCCAAAACAATAGATACTGAGAATAACAGTATTGAATATGATTTTTGAGGTATAAGACTGAGACTATTACCCTATATACCCACTCCTCACATACCCATAGTTAAGTTCCAAAGACCAGCTCATTATGCAAAACTCTATTATGTGAAAATGGAGGATGATCACATCAAATCACAAAATAGATGTCTATTATCATTACATAGCTGCCAACCCACCGAGAATCAAGTTGACACATAGTATCTTCTCTACCACAGCCTCTCATCTTGGTGCACCTTACTGTCATGTATACATCGTCTTTGCACAAAATAATCTAATTTTTAAAATATTGTACATGTAAAATGTCAGATATAAGACATACAGATGTTTGATAATAAGTGAGAAGTAGGTGTACCATAAATGATAATCATAGGCCAATCACTTCAGGCTATGTACTCAATAGAAAACAGTGCATTGTATTAGCCATTCATCCAACCAGTACAAAGAAGAGGCCCATTGAATCAGGATGTCACAGCAAAAAAAAAAAATAATAATCTTTCTCAGAAAAGAGAATCTCTCCATTTAAAAGTAAATGGTGATGAATAGATGGAGCTTTGTTATACTATGGTTTATACCAGTGTTTCCCAAAGTGGGCAATACCCTGTGCTGGAACAATCCGGGCACGGGGAGAGGGAGGCTGCAAAAGCAGATATCTACTTGCTATGTCAGACCCAACACAGCACATTCTCACAGCTGCCAGGCGTCAGAATTGACTCAGTGGCAGTGAGTTTGCTTTGTGACCCATTATCACAGATTGTGGCTATACAGTACAGAAGTTTTCATTGCCAAGGGGTGCTGAGTTTGGTGTTTTGTTTGTTTTTCCCTTAAAAGGGGATAGGAAGGCAAACAGATTTGGGAACCTATGCTTTTAACTTTTAATATTTTAAATTTCCTGTAATAAAAAATAAAATAGAATGGTGATTCCTTGACTATCACTACCCCAGCTGAACTAGATAAATCCTAGGTTTAGCTCCTTACTTTAAGATGGTCCTTCTTTACGATGTAGAGATGCTGGGGTTGTGGAACAACAGCAATCTGGCTGAGAGGAAGCAGTAAGAGGTGGAAGTAGGGCGAGCACGATGGTGGGGCAGGAGGAGGGTAAAAGGAAACAGAGGAATGATCTAGGAAACAAAGCTATGGACAGAGGTATAAACACAGGTGTGTACATATGTAAGTACATTAATCCATAAAAATAGAGGTATTGGCCTATGCACATGTATTTATACAGCAATACACTGAGGTAGTGGATGGACTTCGGGCCTCTGCTCATACCCTCCCTCAATACAAGAACACTTTGCACTAACAAACTGGTATTCTGTGATGCTCACCCTCCCGGCACAATCGCTGAAGACAAAATGAGTGCATAAGCAAATGTGAAGAAAACAGATGGTGCCTGGCTATTAAAAGATACAGCGTCTGGGGTCTTAAAAGGCTTGAGGTGAAACAAGCGGCCACCCAGCAGTGAAGCAACAAGCCCACATGGAAGGAGCACACCAACTGGTGTGATCGTGAGGTGTCACTGGGACCAGATAACAGGTATCAGAAGACCCATAACAAACAAAACAAAAAAATATTGTTGAGAACGAGGGCAGTCAGAGACCCAAAGTCCATCTGTAGACAATGGGACATCCCCCCACAGAGGGGTCACACAGAAGGGATGAGTCAGCCAGGGCCAAGTAAAGCACTGATTCAACACACAACATTCCTCTGGTTCCTTGAGGTTTCCTCACCCCCCACTATCATGACCCCAGTGCTGCCTCTCACTTTGGACTAGACGAGAACATGTACACAGATACAGGTAAGAGATAAGAGCTCACGACACACAGCATCCAGGAACAGGAATAGCGATTCCAGAGGGGGGGGGGTAAGGTGGGGAGAGGACTGCATAACCACACACACCTCCAGGGGGAAGAACAACAGAAACCATGGGCGAAGGGAGACAGTGGTCTCTGTGAGATATGAAAACAATAACAATTTATAATCTATCAAGAGGTCACGAGGGTGGGGGAGGAGGGAAAAAAGAGGAGCTGATACCAAGGCCTCAACAGACAGTAAATGTCTAGAAAAGAATGATGGCAACATATGTACAAATATGCCTGATATAATTAATATATGGATTGGGTAAGAGCTCCCAATGAAATAATCTTTTAATAAAACAAAATTCTTTTTTTAAGATGGTCCTTCTTTACCCTAAATGAACATCATGGGCAAGAAAGAATATATTTAACAACTAGAGTACCCACAGTACAAAGCTTTGATATGGAGATGCAGAGACTAGATAAGAGGAATATAAAAAAAGTATATTTGCCGGTCTTTTGAATCTTAGTATCCAGTAATCACTAAAGGGCAGGGATAAACAGAAGGTGCTTGCTATCTTATTAGTGGAAATCTATGTATATACGTATTTACTTTCTTGATTTGCAAAGTTCCTTCTCCTTCCAATTTCTGCCTCCGAAGTCCAAATCTAGCGCTGCACATGGCCCACCAGATCCTGCGGTGAGAGAAACCGTAAGGACCTACAAACCAACACCTGTTGCTGACTCACCATGACCCTATGGGCAGAACAGAACCGCCCATGGGGTTTCTAAGCTGTAACTTTGAGGGAACAGATCACCAGGTCCTTTTCCCTCGGAGATGCTGGCAAGCCAGCTTGCAATTCAGTCAAGCATTAAGGACCCTAAGGACCGCCCCACCCCCGCCCCTATTTGGCTCCACAATGATGAAAACCTACAGAAAGAGTTGGCCCTGGACTTCCCAGATTGTGTCTTTAAGGTGTGACCTTCTATAATGTTCTTGGGTCCATATAAATAATGCAAGGTTTTGGCGGAGACCCCTAGACAAGAGTCGGCAAGCTCTAGCACTTTCCGAGAGACATCTGAAAAACAAGGTAGAGAAAACGGAGGTGGTCAATAACAAAGGAGGACTAACAGCAGTGTTCTTATTCAAGGCAATGGGGATAACAGGATCTGAGATTTTTTTGGTTTTAGGAAAAGGTTATGTTTCCAATGACCCATAGGAAGAAAGGAATCCTATTGGCTACTAATTTTCACTACCATCATTGGTAGCACAGATGGTCAATCTATATGTCTTCTTGTGCTCAATTCTATGCTTAATAAATGTTAAAGGATTGAATCCAAATAATGTTTATTCTACTAGTAACAGCCAAATAATACCATTCATATCCTGTGTATGTATATATAAACCTACACACTTGGATTTAATTTTATCTTTCTACTGGATAACTGGTTTTGTGCACTGATCTGCCTTGTTACTTCCTAGTAGAGGCAATGGGAAAAAAATAAGCTTAAATGATTTTTAAATTTCAGTTCTGCTTATATTTTAAAGTGTGGTGTATGCCTTAATATCCAGATTTTTTTAAAACAGCCAAAGTTGAAAAAAATCAGTAGTTCCCAATTTACAGTTGACATAGCAACCTGTCAAACACTTTTCCCACTCAGCTCATATGGCACTTTGATGCATTATTGAAATTGACAGCCATTTTGCGAATTTCCTGAAAGCTTTCATCCTATGTAATGGCATTAACATGGAAATAAAGATGGCATTTCAATCAAGTTAATGTGATCAGACCAAAAACATCCTTCAAAGTGTGCACCTGAACTTTAAATTCAAGTTCAAATGCAGTAGTTTTGGCTACCAGTACCTGAAGAAAGAGCTCATTCACAGAGTGACAAGAGTTAAAGCTGGCATGAACCCCAGAAATGATCTAATCCAGGCCTCTGCTTAACTGAACGAAGATGGGGCTCGGAGAGGAAAAGGCTGGGAGAGAGCTATGGACGGAAGCCACATCTTCCCACCCAGTCTCCAGTGCTCCAGAATGCCTGCGAGCTACTTTTAATCTTGTAACGCACATGGTCTCCTTTAGCTTATTTTCTAATATATGCCCAGTATGAAGTGTCTTTCCAAATATTCTTTTTCCCTCCTCCAATTCCATTTTGAGGAAAATAAATGGTTTTACTCTAAATGTCCTCAATTAAAATTATCTCTCAGCCTAATTAATGGTCTCTTTTACCTAAGTTGTAAGGTAAAAATAATTAGCCTTTCATATCACTCTATTGCTATCATCAGTCTGCTACAGTTCAAGGGTTACCAACTCGCGTCTAGGTGGCATACCGTATCCGTGAATGAAGAGCCCTGTCAAGTCCCACCGGGGAAGGGCGGCCCCTTCTCTTAGGCACTGGTGTCAGAATGCTTCATCTAACTTCATGCTGCCCATAAGTGGTGTGCTGGAAAGGGATCCTTTGAGCAACTTCCAATTTTTACTTTCTTTTTAACACAGGAAATGAATGCCATGCACAGTCCTTATGTAAAGTTATTTTTCCAATATTTTTATTTTGGGGGAGGGGGGGTGCCTTATGTTTGTAAGAAGTCAAATGACCAATCGCTATTTTTCTTACCTTAAAATGTCCACAAATTGAAATCTAACAAATTGGAGTAAGTTCTTAATTTCCTACTCTACCTTAATAATTGCTTCATGTATAGACCAACATTTTCGTCTCTTTGTGGTAGACAGAAGAGATTATCACATTCGCCTAAGCCACTGAAAACAAAAATGACGGCACTCATTTGCCCAATAATAAATATGACTAGCTCTGACAAGGCTTCCAAGCACTTCAGAAATCTAACTTTGCTGCAGACTCTTTGGAACTTAAAAGACCTCTGACATAACTCACCGGGGCTGGCACCTCTTATGAGTTAAATGTTTCAATTTAGCATAATCAATATAATGGCTAAATAAAGCTTACCCTTACACATTGAAAATTACTACTAGAAGGAAATCACTGATAACACTAGAGAATAATGACACAAAAATTTAAATCAAGACACAATGGCTAAGGATTTTCAGGAGACTATAACAAGTAGTCATTCAAGTTAAGTAAAGCAGAGTAAAGCAACAAAATACTTCCAAACTGCATTGAGTCTTGAATTCTCTTAAGATTTAAAAACCCAATGTTTCTCTAGTTGATTGAGACAATTTGTCTCCCAAGGTACTACTCAGAATAAAAACACGTGTTACAAATGCAACAGAAGTAATTTTTCCCTAATACCTAATGTTTCTTGGGTTTCTCCCAAGATCTAACCATGCCCAAGATAGCACTAATCTATATTTAGTAAAAATCCAACATTATCTTATTCATATTTTATTCACTATCTAGTCTCCCCCACGTTTCTTAAATAATTTTGTGAACAAAAATCACTACCAATTTTGAGTAAAATAAATATGAAATGAAGCTTTTTCCTGGATTGGAAGACACTGTTATACATAAAAGCACAAAGATCCCTGATACTTTTGGTAATACTTTTGTCCATAAAAATATAATTGAATTGCATGTCTAAAATTAAAGCTGAATTCATACACTAATGCCTCACATTACTCTACTGATGACCAAGGCCTTACACTCTTATTCATCAGAATGAAATATTCCATAGCTGCATCCAGAGCACTCAAAGGAAAATGTAATGTGACAACATAAAGAGGAGTCCCCTATAACTGTTTATTAGAATGTGAATATATTCCAAATCAGTAACTAAAGAAAAAATTACAGAGCATGCATAAAATACAAGGTAGCAATTTACAAACATAATAGTATCTTCGTAACCAATACAGGAAAATGATAAAATGACTGCGGAAGAAAACCACAGTGACCGACTACAGCAATGCCTCTGCGCACCCCACACGTCATGAGCACCGCGAGATGGAAGAGCAGCTGTGCAGCACAGCAACCTGTGCAAGCCCACACACACAGTTTGGAGGGATCCCACCATCCTGAGTAGTATCAATGCACTTGACACACCTTGCAGAACACTGCAGAGTAAAGTGCGTACTACTATCCACAGGAAGTAAAACTAAAGATTAGTGTGCACATTTCAGAATGAGAAACTAGTTGCTTCACTGGTTTCAATAATATAGTGGAAGAAAGCTATTTTTAAGTTTTTATAATGCCTAAATGCATTCTATTTAAACTCAAGGTATTATTTCATCTTCCATACTAAAAAAGCACATGCCTTCAAGTGACACCACTTAAGTAGAAATTAACTTCTCACGGTATTCCTTGGACAAACCAAAACCAAGAACTTATCTGGACTATATTCTAGAACATACTGCAAAACTCAAGTATTAGCATTGTCAAAATTATCATCCATGCCTGTGATGGATACAGGATAAAACTAAATTGCACATTTACTTGAAGGTTTTAAGAAACAATGTACATTTAAAAGTTTAATACTATCAGCATTAAACCAGTTATTGCCTGAGCAATAATATATGCTGCATGATCTGCTGCTGGGAAATTAGATCCATTACATGACAGATGAGTTAAAGGAGTGCCTGACCTTTGTTCACAGTGGTACCTCAGACGGAATGCCACCAGTCTCTTTAGTTCCCAACCTGCCAGGCAGCCCGTGACCATTCTACTACCCAAACCATAATTCTTTAATGTTTATTAGGATCATTTTTGTTCCAGAACAAAGTGCTCCTCTCTCCAGCCAACTTCTATGCTTAGAAAAATCAAAGAACAGGTTTTATGAATTTGCAAACCTATTAAGGCATTTTAGAAAGTAACTTCTAGAGTACGGGCAACATTTCCAGTCCTCACAATCCTGCTAGGCTTATAGGGCAAATCTTGGATATGGGGAATACATATTGCACTGAGAGAGATGTGTATTAATTATAAGTGCTCTATGGCAAAATAACAACCTATTTTTTAATGTCTTCATCTTTTGATTTGATCAAGATCTATAGGTCTGCGCTTCGAGTGATCAAGTTCGACTTTGCCCTACAGTGGCAGGCTGCCATGATGAAAAGTAGACAGTAACTGAGGAACCCAAACACCCAGTTTATTAAACCAAGGCTAGTGAGGCCATAGCAGGGAAAGAGCTGCAGTCATTTGGGACAATGATTTTATAAAGCTAAAATCAAAGACTTAAGACATGGGAAATTTCATAAGTGTGAGGAAGTAATAAAACACAGAGTGACCACAAGAATTACAAATATATTTAAATCTCAGACCTGGGTCATGGACTATACACAGCCATCTAGGGAGAAGAGAATGCCTTATATGCTCTGGCAGCACTGGACCTTTGGCTTGTTGTCAGTGGTTGGTGGAACATGAATAGGGACCACATTGTTGCTTGGAGACATGTCATTTTCACGTCGGTCTGACATTTGCTTCTGAGAAACAATGCGGTATATCTCTGAATGAAGAAAAGAAGCAGTGATACTGAGTGTGAATAAACCTATCAATAATTGGTAAAAAGAAACATAAGTACATTTGCAAAAATGACTGATTTTGAGAACATAAAAACATCTGGACAACCTATCAATTTTAAAGTTTTACTTTCAAATAGGTACTAATTGGAGAACCAAGCAACATTTATGGTCTCCACGAGTAGGCACCACTACACAGCACCAGCAGTAGCCAGAGTAGGAAAGCCTTTCCATTGTAGCAGGAGAGGCTCACCACCAAAGGCAACGAAATAGCCACCAGCGTACGAAAGCCTTTCCATTGTAGGAGGAGAGGCTTACCACCAAAGGCAATGAAATATATCTTGGCGTAAAGGGTCTCACATAGCTTACAGAATCAGATCTCACCACCGCCACGATAGATAGATGATTAGATAGATAGATAGATAGATAGATATACACACATGCACACACGTATATCAACACTGTTCAAGAAAAAAATGGGACATCAACCAGATCAGGTATTGTTCTAGATATGAAGTACTAAGCACAACTTCATAGACATGCTCACAGAGAACTCCTGGAAGGGAAAGATAAACAATGTGATTATCAGTGACTCTTCTGAACTAAAATTAATTACCCAAAACGAGCAACTTAAGATTTTGTACGTATACTTTTTCTTTCATTACAATCAAGATGAATTGCTTATAATATGCCTCTTCCTCTAAACACCGAACCCTACGGCTGCCTCACTCACTGAAGAGTCTCTAGCACACAGTATGCACACAGCAGAGGTTGAATAAGGGTCCCTGGTGGTGCTCTGGGTTAGGCATTGGGGCTGTTAACCTTAAAGGCAACAGTTCAAACCCACCAGCTACTCCAAAGAAGAAAAAAGAGGCTGTCTGTTCCTATAAAGATCTGTAGGGTCATTATGATTCAGTGGATTCCATTTGGTTCCATTTGGTTTAAAAACATTGTCCGAGCGCTACTTTTTCATAGCTAGGGTGTTGACTGGGAGTCACGGTAGCACCCCATGTGCGTACAGACTTGCTTGCAGTGGGTTTTCAAGACTGAACGTTCAGAAGCAGATTGCCAAGCTTCTTCCAAGATGCTGCTGTGTGGTTTGAACAATCAAACTTTTGGCTACCAGTCAAGCACTAACTGTTTTGTTTACAAACACCTTACTAAATTTCTCCACAGAAAGTGTATTTATTTAATCCTTTATTTGTTCTCTTAATGTACTGCTTAAAAACAGTTCCCTCTGATTGCATTAGAAATTCCTTTTAAAAAACAAAAAGAGTGTACCTTTGCCACCTTTGCTCCTACCATTCCCCCTCAAAAAAACCAAAAATACCCGGTAAGGAAATTCTTTTAAGAGACAGTAACACAATGTGCATCTCATGTGGGATATCATTGGGATATTGACACAATATCATTTGTATGTACTCGTGTCAGCAATTTATGCATTCTCGTCAAACATGTTTATACGGAATTTATTAATGAAGAAATAGATAAATGCAGATTGAAGGACATTCTATAAGCTAATTAGCATAGATGCTTCAAAGATGTTATTAGCATTAAATGTATTTAAAATATTGAGGTAAGTGTTCTAGATGTAGCCACCTATTTAAATTAACAAAATAACAAATTAAGATTCCCATTCTACTAGACACATTACAAATGGCTATTGGCTACTATAATTATAGTATAGATATAAAACAGTTCCATCAAACCAATGTGTTATTGTTGACTAAGTCCTGCATTTAAAAATTTTTAAAGGGTATTAGTACAGTTAGATAAATCTGAATATGGATTATACATCAGATAATACTGTATGAACAATCGATATCTGGGATATGGTATAGCACTGTGGGGTCATACTGGAGAATGCCTTGTTCAAAGAAGGCTCAAGTACTTAATAATAAAATGTCAAAATCTCTATGATCTACTTTCCAATATTCAGCAAGTAGTATTAAAGATACACACACATACATACAAGGAGAAATAAATCCAATGTAGCAAAATGTTAATAATCCTAGATGAGGAAGGAGTATATGAATATCTGTTGTATTCTTTCTGTGAAAATGAAAACAAAACCTTTTTAAAGTTATAAGGACAAAAAGAGAAAACAGAATAGTATTTTCAAGATGTTCTGCAGTGTACGGACATTATTTGGACCTTACTTTAAGCGGTACTGGCAGTCTCTTGTGCACAATGTAGACCTGCTCCAGAGGGCTTTGGAGGCTGACATTTGTGGAGCAGATCACTAGGCCTGTCTTCTGAAGCACCTCAGGATGGGCTTGAACTACCAACTTTTCAGCTAGTCATTGAGCACTTAGCCGTTTGTACCACTCAGGGATTCCTTTGACATGAGTGGAAATCAACTTGATGGGTAAACATCTTTAGACTGTTTAAAACATCTGAGAAACAACAAAGACCACGACCACATGGACGAAGCACACCAGCCTACCCCGACACGATTGCTGAAGACAAAATAGGTGCATAAGCAAATGCGGTGAAGAAAGCTGATGGTGCCCGGCTATCAAAAGATGTAGAGTCTGGGGTCCTATAGGCTGGAAGATAAACAAGTGGCCATCTAGCTCAGAAGCAACAAAGCCCACATGGAAGAAGCACACCAGCCTGTGCGATCACAGGGTGTCAAAGGGATCAGGTATCAGGCATCAAAGACAAAAAAAAATAGCAGTGTGAATGAGGGGGAATGCGGAGTAGGGACCCAGGGCCCATCTGTGGGAAATTGTATAGCCCCTTGCAAAAGGGCCGCGGAGAGGAGACGAGCCAATAAGGGTGCAGTGTAACAATGATGAAATATACAATTTTCCTCTAGTTCTTGAATGCTTCCTCCCCCAGCTGCCACTATCATGATCCCAATTCTACCTTACAAATCCAGCTGGACCGGAGGATGTACAATGGTACAGATAGGAACTGGAAACACGGGGAATCCAGGACAGATGGACCCCTCAGGACCAGCGGTGACAGTAGCGATACCAGGAGGGTGGAGGGAAGGTGAGGGAGAAAGGGGGAACAGATTACAAGGATCTACATATAACCTCCTCTCTATGGGATGAACAGCAGAGAAGTGGGTGAAGGCAGATGTCAGACAGTATAAGATATGACAAAATAATAATTTATAAATTATCAAGGGTTCTTGGGGGAAGGGGAAGAGGGGAGGGAGGGGGAAAATGAGGAGCTGATACCAAGGGCTCAAGAAGAAAGCAAATATTTTGAGAATGATGGCAACAAGTGTACAAAAGTGCTTGACACAATGGATAGATGTATGGATTGTGATAAAAGTTGTATGATCCCCCCAATAAAATTATTTAAACAACAACTCTGGGTCAGGAAATATCAATATTACTTGGATAATGGATGATAAAAAGGAGTCACTAACCTTTTTTTTTTTTCCTCTCTTCACTGCCCTTTTTATTCAGTGTTTTGTTATTTTGGCCTTAAGTCTAATCAGGTATGCATACTGAAATGCTTACAAGTAAAATGATGAAATATCTGGAATTTGCTTCAAAATAATGAGGGAGGGAGTAAGTAGAAGATAGGCTATAAGTTGATCAATGGCTGCTGATGGCTATGTGGGAGTACATGACATTGTTCTACTTTTGATGATAGTTTTCATAACAAAAAGTTAAAGGGAAAATGCCGTTAATACATTTCTCTAGGAAATAATACCCCTCAAGTTGAAGTCAAATATTTAAACTAACAAATACACTTAACAGTGAGTGCAATCTTTTCTTAAGTTTTTTGAGAGGAGTTTAGAGTATGTTTGAAAAGGTTGGCAATGGTTCAAATGTGTAGAAACCTCAAGAGTAAAAAACTAGGTTATTACTGACTACAGCCAACCCTTGAACAACACAGGTTCTAACTGCACAGGTCAACGTACACATGAATTTTTTAAATGCCATGACAGTAATCATCTCCACTCGAGCAGTTCATCTCTCCAGTAAACAGTGTATTACAGTAAGAAGTGATCACTCATTGTTCTCGTACATTTTCCATGTTTAGTAATAATACCATAACCCTTGAATAACACAAGGTGATCCATACATTAGTGATGGTGGAAGCATTCCCCCAAAGCAGAGAAAAGTTCTAATACCAAAAAAAGCCAAACTGCTTGATAAGTACTGTAGGTTGAGACCCGCAGCTGCAGTTATCTGCCATTTCAAGATAAATGAATCTCAGGGAAGGTTCATTAAATATGTCGGGAGGATAAAAAACCTTGAACTATATAGGAAATGAAAGGAGCCCTGGTGGCACAGTAGATTAAACATCGGGCAACCACACTAACCCCAATGCCAGCAGTTCAAACAGACCAACCAGTCTGCAAGAGAACTGAGGCTGTCTGTTCCCATAAAGATTGTCTTAGAAACTAGTTCCAACCCCAAACCAAACCATGCCTGCTGAGTTGATTCACACCCATTGCAACAATATATTGGGTTTTTGAAGCTGTAAATCTTTATGGGGAAAAGGAGCCTTGTCTTGCTCTCAAGGAGCAACTGGTGGGTTTGAACTGCTGACTTTGCAACTCAACACTTAATCCATCGGGGACCCTTAGGAGCAATTCTACTCTGTCCTATATAGGGTCATGATGAGTCAAAATGGACTTGATGGCAGTGCGTTTTATTGGGGGGGGGGACAAGGGGTGATGGGGAAAGGGGGGCTAGTGGATTTTTATGAACCACATTTTATCTTGTATTAAAAATGTAGCTTTTATGTGAATGTAGTATACATATAACATGCAAAATATGTGCTAATCAATTGTTTAAGTTATCAAGAGTAGATTAGTTAAATTGGGGGGAAGTCAAGTTATACTCAAATTTTCCATTGTGAGTTTGAATTTTGTAATGCAAATGATAAAAAATAATTTAGATTTCTTTTATTGAAAAGTGATAGGATAGGAGAGTGTCAAGGGTAAAGAGGAGGAGAGTAATTCAATCAAGCTAGTGGGTAAGGGATGAAGATAATCATCAACTTGACTGCTAAA